AAAAGATAAGATTAAGAGAGCTCATAAATAGAATGCAAGTAAAAGAATTATAATACAGTATCTTGTTTATAAGAGAAAATTATCTCATTAAAAAGTTTTTTCTTGAAATTTTTCTTATTGGAGTTCTTTAAATTTTCACTCAAAGAATTCCAATATTTTGTAGCTGCAAATCTAACATTGAATAAACCATAATTAGTTGTTGCATATGGTAAAGAATAGTTTGAATTGGCTRCTAATATAAGATGAATACGAATATAATGAGTGATGTTGGTGAAAAGGGTGTGGCATGATGTAGAGAACTTTACCACTTTCTGTTCCTCCGCCGCCGCCGCCTGAACCAGCATCACTTGCACCAGCTAGGGTTCAAACAGTAAAATTCCATGAGCATAAAGTCATAAAGACAGTAATGGTTGGTGGGTTGGTGGGTTGGTGGGTTGGTGGGTTGGTGGGTTGGTGGGCTCGCTGAACATGGATAGTTTTTTGTCACTTTTCAACGTTATGACTGTTTGAAGCAGGCCACCATATGCACAATGGATGAAGTCATGAAGACGGAACACCGTTTCGTTTCAATTTAAAGAGGTACTGCCAACTMTCCTGTCYACAAATGCATTCAAATTCAARTGTGGATGAAATATCATTGAAATATAGAAATGCTTCAAGAGCGGATGAGCCTAGAAAACTGCTTAAAACGTTAACGAAAGAAGCCACTGGCTTCTTCACCCGATCGATTCAGATAACTTCAAACTTGACGTTGTAAGCTTACTGAAACAACAAATTTACGCACGTTAATTCTTCTTGATAAGTTTTACATTAAATGCCAGTGTCTTTCAGTTATCTTTGATAATTTATTAAGGTTTTTCGGCGATTTTATCCATAAATATTTTTTTCATAACGAAGGTTTTAATGTTTTAAAAGATCATAAATCAGTACACTCAGTGAACCATTTCCTTTTTCGGTCCCGATACCGTAAGTTATGGACCGCAAATTGACCAATCATAGCGCATGAAATTACCTTGTTATATAATAATTCTCAATACAAAAATGTCTGCATTCTGATTAAAAAGACTGATAGGTCTATTAGTGCCACAAGGGAAAAACAAATCAGCGTTTTGATTGCCYAGCTGTTCTGACAATTTAGATACGGTTATTGTCTGGAAAACCAATGGTTATCACTATATTTTGCCTCAGCTTACCATCATAGTCGTCTTCTTGGTCTAGTGGCTCTTCATCTTCAATATCTGAACAAAGCATAATAGACATRTCCAGTGTTATAATCTTTTTAAAAGCGGACAATACCCAGCAGTTACCATCTACTTGCAATGCTTTATCTTGCATTTGGATAAAGTGAAAATTATRAGGTTGTTGACTCCTGCTCGACGACACTTCTCTTCAATGGTCAAGAATATAATGATTAATCCATCCTTTGCCTGCAAAGTTCTCTCAACACAAAAGCTCGATGATCCTTCTCTCCTGAAACCGACATTATTTCCACAGATACCGACCTGAACCTCATGGAACCCTCAGTACTGAACAATTCTTTTGCTACGCTTAATTTTTGTTCCAGATTGTGCGTCATCACGTTGAACTGTTCGCTTTGTAAACGGGCCAAATTTTCAAATCTCAATCTGATAAGACGATGCGCAAACAAAGTGTACTAATAAGAGTGTAATATAGGATAAACGCAATAGAAAACAAACTGACACACTTATTAAAATACGCTATTGGTAAAACTTAAATTTCTATGAAATAAGGCATTGGAAGATTTTTTTGTATTGTCGTAGCTGTAAAATATCATCCTTTCTCGTAGCGAAGTCGCAGCGAATTTTTCATCTTTTGCTGCTTGTGGATAGTCCCTAACTAGTGTAAGAACATGATGTGTTTTTTTTTCCTTTGAGCCATGGAAATTTTGCGAGATTGAAAATTTTATAAAAAGAACACAATAGAAAACAAACTGACTTAGAGTGTAATGGCACTAAATAAGTTAGAGTGTATTTCACGGGTTAATCAAAACCACTCTTCTAGTTCTGGACAGCAGCAAACTTATATAAATTTTATGTAGCAAGACTACAATTTTGAAACGAGACATGTTTCAGCTGTACGATTTGCCGAAACATGTCTTCTTTGATTTATACTTTTTAGTAAGAAAAACCCTTAATTTGTGATTCTGCTTAATGTATATTATATTTACCTGCATAAGGTTTTCTAGTAAATGTTTCTTGAGAAAAACCACCTGTATTCAAAGAGTAGAAGAAGAAAAGAAAGATCAGACATTTGTAGTGAGTACCTTCCATGTTGAAGCTCTTTCCTCGAATGACCACTTGAATAATAAAAAATATTGCTTACCATAAAATTTACACGACAGCACTGAATCGAAACCTTGATCGAAACATACATTAATTTAATTTCAGTGTATCAGCTAATTGCATAAATAAATATCAACTAAAAACCAAGAATAGACAATTTTCCTTGGTCGATTTCTAATTGTAAATGCGAATTCCACTATTTTATGCTTCGAGTGCATCTTTTAACTTTTCTCGGATTATGATTGTTTGAAACAATAAAAACTATACAAAAAATCACCTKAGTTTGGAACTATATCCCAGTCATAGAGTGCTCACACTAAATCCGTGAAACAAATACTAATTTTTAGCACTAAATAGTGATAATTAAACAATAGAAAACAAAGGATTCTGYATGAAATAGTACTAATTAGTACTATAATTTATTGTTCACGGTTTTAGGCGTGCACTCCACAACATATTTGCCTGGTCAATCCATGTTTATGGAAGTACCTCGACCCTTTTTGCCCGTCAATATGAACAAAATTAATGTTACCGTTTTACAGCATAATCATTGGTAACCGAAGCCGGCGTAAAACTGACATACTCAATAACGTACCTAAGAGTTGGTGCACAAAATCATTGTAAATCATAAGCGTAGTTTTCGCTYGGTTAGTGATAAAACCCGAAAAGTGTGCGAATAGTGCGAATGATGCAAATAGTAGCAATAGTAGCTTTATTTATTTCGTTATTTTATTTTATTTTTTTATTAAGAGGTGTATAATTCACTATCGCACTCGTTTGACTTCCAGCTGATTAGCGTATATTTGTTTACTGTTTCAGTTTATCTATCTAGCGGACAGAATCACACCACAATGTGCTAATCAGGTTCTTGATTGCAATATGGAAGTTAAGTTTCAGTTAAAAGAATTGGAGRAATCAACTGTTTTCAGTCAAATATCTTCTCTCTTTGAAGCCAAATAAAGCTATTGGTTTGGACAATATTAGCCACGACTACTCAAATGTGCTGCTGGTACAATAGCTCCGTCAATCACCAGCCTCCTAAATGTTTCAATCCGTACTGGCAAGTTTTCAGATCTATGGAAGTGTTCTAAAATTACTGCATTATTTAAATCAGGAGATCGGACTAATGCTTCCAACTATCGACCTATTTCAATTTTACCAACTCTCAGCAAATTACTTGAAAAAACTGTTCATTCACAGTCATATCATCACTTGGCTGAACATAAATTCTTTCCAGTAAACAATTTGGTTTTAGACGACGATCATCTACAGCATCTGCCTTGTCAGCATTTGCAGATGAAGTTTTAACCAACATGGAGCAAGGAAAATTATGTGGGACAGTTTTTTAGATTTAACAAAAGCATTCAACACAGTTGACCACGAGATATTATTGTCCAAATTATCCGCAACTGGGGTTTCTGTAGCCTCCTTTCGCAGCCGTTCTTAGTGTCGTCACGCAAAAACGTTGCCCTAGGAACGGCTGCGAAAGAGGCTAGGGTTTCTGATGACGCTCTTCAATGGTTCCATTCGTATCTCACCAATAGAAAACAGCGAGTGTGCCAAGACAATGAACTATCTGATGAACTTACAATCAATTATGGAGTTCCTCAAGGAAGTATTTTAGCCCCCACTCCTATTTATTATATATGTTAATGACCTGCCGAATATTTTGGAATTCTCCAACGCTTCTTTGTACGCGGATGACAAGGGCGGATCCAAGGGGGGGGGCAAGGGGGGGGGGCTGAAATGCTGATCGAATTCCTTGCCTTCTGCAATCAAACTGCTGTCCATACATCCAGAAGCTGTATAGTGTTTGATCAAAGTTAGAAAAACGACAAAAAACTTTGTATAACAAAGATATCGTTCGAAATGTTTTGATCTCTTGAAGATTTGTAGTTAATTTCGAGTTAATTTGTAGTTAARCTCGACCCGATAGTCTCGCGTTTTGATGCTATGCTCATCACAATACCGCTGGTTTGTTGGGGTGAAGTGCTCTACTACGATAACCGCYACCCAGTTAGCTCAGTTGGTAAGAGCGTCGGTCTGTTGTGCGGGAGGTCGTGGTTCAAGCCTCGGCCGGACCAACASTCAAGGTCTTAAAATAACTGAGGAGAAGGTGCTGCCTTTGTAATAATATCTGCAAATGGTTAGACCTTCAAGTCTTCTCGGACAAGGACTTGAAACCGTAGGCCCTGTCTCCWAACCCTTCCTAACCTACAGTAAAAATGGGGGACATAAAAGAACCACTGAGGACGTAAAAAGAAACCCTGGCAGTGACCACCCTCAGTGCCTACACTTCATACCAACCATCTCTCATGCTTGTAAATTGCATATAGCAATCTGTCATTCACAACTYCATGTAAAGCGCCTTTGATTATATCCACATATTAAAGGGCGCTATATAAATCATAARTCATAATCATAACACTGAGCTATTATGAATCTTTGRAATATGCATCAATTGACACTCATTTATTACCAATTTTCATACTTTTGCATGTAATTATTGCTCCCAAATTCTCGACTTTTTATTATTATTTTGACTTTAAGAAAGGTTATTCGTTCGCCAGCCTCCATTCTCTCATACTCCGTGCACCGCTGATGGTAACAACAATAGATTATGATCGTGTGTTTGATTGATGAACCGGTGTATATGTGTTCGGTATGACTGCTAAATAAATAGATTCAAAGTTTGGTCGTAGAAGTAAGTYCATGTTTACCTTCAAGTTATGGTTGAGTAAGTTTAAAAAGGTTTCAAATTCATGGCATGATATGCAAAGATGACAATAATAAAAATGAATTCGTTGCATAGAATATGGTGGAATGATTATAGTAACATACACGAAATAACACTCGGCAGACACGAAAAAACATCCCAAACTAGTACAATTATTTGTCTTTTTATATACCATCCGAGAACAAAGCTTTTTCGGTTTCTACTTACTTACTTTATTATATATAACGTGCATGGGAGACATCTGCATCTTCAAGTACAAGCTACAGTTACCTCGGTTAGCAGCGAACTTCGCTTTGAATCACAATAGACCTCCTTGGCTCTGCTGTAATATTTTCCCATTTCAGACCACGTGTCATTCCCTAGRGTATCATTTCTTTTTTTAAAGGTTGCGCTCGGTTGCAAATGAGAAGACACGTGAATATGTATGCAACTCAAACAAAGATTTTTATTGTGATTGCAAGGGAATGACACGTGGTCTGAAATAGAAAAAGAAAAAAAAAAAAACGCCCGAGCGGAGGAGGTCTATTATGATGACTCACAGTTTAATTTAATTGACATATTTTTACTAACGTGTAAACGCGTCGGTTTGTTTTTAAGTGCGTCCGTGCAACACTATGACGTATGGGATAAAATGATTAACGCAGCCTCGGGTTTGAGTTTAGGAAGAATACCAGAACTTTGGGATACAGGGCGCAAACACACACTCTTGGCTGGTTCCTACGTTTCTGAAATATATTCCAAAAACTAAAATATGTATATGAAATATATTCTAGTTTTTGGAATATTTAGGAGCATGTTTGAATTTAAAACGTTTGCATTGACTAAAAAAGCAACTCAGTCTAAATTGAGGTTTTTTAAATTTTCTTTTAATAAAAAGAGTATATGAACATTTACTTTCCATAAAAAGCAGTTTGTAAAAATTTACCCAAATGCGCATGTTTAAAATGTAGAATTCTTTTATTTATAAGTTCATATCAATCCTCCTCATGGGAAAGGATTCATTAGTATGCAACTATATGRTTATATCTTCATAGAGTGATGGCACAAGCTTGCATTGATTCGTGAAATAGATCGTAGTAGKCATTCATTTGCTATAGATTATTGTTTTCTTTTGTTTTGTTCGTCAAGAGTATAAGCTTTCCTTTCAAGTGCCCTCACTCTAAAAGCTTGACCTTTGCAWATGGTTTTAGTGACCCTGATCCACTTCTTCGTTGTTGATGGGGGTTTTAGTGACATGTATTGCTGCCCGCAAGGAATGCCTAATATCTTATCGGCAATATTTTTAAGCATGTATACAATTCCGGGATTTTATTTCTTATTCATAATTAAAGTCGTTGTTCTAAGCATTTCTTTAGGAAGTATCGTATTGGCATCGTATTTRCTTGTTAAATATGAAATTCCATTTCATCTACAACAGATTAAATGCCAGTAAAGTTTGCATAATCTATGAAGGAGTCGAGGTATTGTTTCAAGGTGCTGTAACAGTACTCGTACTGCGACTGAAAAGAAAAAAAAAACATTATTCTAAATAGCATTTTAAAAAGCGTAGAAGAAGAGAAGAGAAGAGAAGAGAAGAGAAGAGGAGTTACTTACCAATGTTTCTACAGCTCCAGGTCTATTGACACGAATATTCTTAACGGTCTGAAAGACGTCCAATACTTGTTCTTGTTTGACTCGTTCAAGACATGAAGCAATAGCACAGAATGTACCGCTACGACCAACACCGTTACTGAAGGGAATAAAAATCCAAATTAAAATTTATCGCAACAATTTTGTTTATTATAAAAAGAAGCAGTATATAGTGTTCCATACCTACAGTGAACGACTACTGGATTATTACTGCACTTCTGCTGCGACTTCCAAACCTTTTCAAATAAATCCAGCAGACCCTGGGAGCTGTTTGGGACAGAATTATCGTCCCAAGCCGTGTGCTGAAGGTGCTGCACGCTGCGCTGTGTCTGGGAGATTAATAATTAAAAGACGTTATTCAAAGATGCACGACATATGAAATCACACATAAAAACATCCTRCATAGGATTACGAGCTTGTGAATCTGAGCTTGTGAACTTTTCTTGACATGCCTGGGAAAGTTTAGKCCTAACCTAAACCATACATTATAGTAGGAAATCCATACTTTGATTTGTTTCGGGTGCCTCCTGGGGGAAGGAAAATAATGTCCAAGCCAAGCCACCACAAAAATTATTTTAACGCCAACTTACTGATTCATAGGATACTCTGAATGTTCTCAACAATATGTCATCGTATTCTTCAGTCTTAGAGAGACACACTTCGATACCATCGTATGTTATTGGTTCTTCTTGTTGCCAATATACAGGAAAAATCTGGTTAATAAAAAAACGTATTCAAGAGATTTGGTTTGAGCCAAAAGACGACGAMGAAAAAATGGCTGAAAATACTTGAAATTTTATAACTGAAAAAGATTCGATACCATACAAAAAGGTTTCTTTTTTTTCTAAATAGACGTCCAGTTTCGAGTTCTCAGTTCCTTATGGCTTGACTCAGAAAGCTTTACTGCTTTACTCGATTTTGTGTACAATACTCATATGTTACGCTCCAGGGAAGGTCCCTGCATTTCAAAGTATTTGTATTTTTTGTGTTATGCATTCTTTATTTTACCGTTTGTAATGACTTTGGATATTTTGACGTTGAGATGAGGCTTACAGCCTGAGTAAATGAAGAATGTAATCTAGGTTTTATTCGGCACCTTTCTGTGGTTCAGTTCTAGCGTGTCGGTTCATGTGTAACTGCTCAAACTTTACCTCRTCTCCTTCCTGAAAATCGTTCAGCATGACGATGGTTCCGATCTCGTAGTCCATAACCATTCTCCAGAAATCTGCTATTGTGTTTTCCATGGGAGCTTGTGTCATGATGAATGCGTTGCGCTCTCTGTAAGTCTAAGAGTGCAATATAAKTAGCGTCATCTATACATAATTGCGAGGCCTAAACTTCCCCTCATGCGCATAGTTTCGCTCTACATGGCTAGTCTTTAATCAAACAATATTAGAAATCAAAGGTGATCAACTCGAATTAGCTGATACAGCAAATATCTTACCTACAGCCAACTTCAGGTCAAGCCCAAAATAAACTTGCCTTAACGAACCTTGATTTGAAGTGCAAGAAAAGGGAATTTTGTTGGCTCAATTTAGTTCTCTCCGCAACGCTCTACATTACTGAATCAGCTTATTGGTCGTGCATTTTCAACTTTATTATATATTTGAATTAATTTTATTGGGCTGCATATTTCGCAATTACACTCACGTCTATGAACGTAGCATTGATGTAGTCTCCTTGATTTGAATCATCTGAACTCAGGACTACTCTGCACTGGTTTACTGTAATTATATCAGAACACAAGACGTTTTAATGTATTTTTCCAATAGAAGAATTATGTTATACTTYACAGGATTTTAGCGTTATTCTTTTCTTCTATTCTAGCAGTACCTTATATCATAAGTTTAGTTCCAAATTAAACTTTCTGGTGTAGTTGATCATCTTTCAMCACACTAAAGCATTGATTTTTTTCAACTGGCATACCTGGTACTATGTTTTTATATCTGTTTTTTGTTGCATTCTCCTCTTCCTGTCCAACTCCACATTCKTTTTTTACTCCATAAGAGGCAATAAATTCCAGCCGCTRAAAATAGTAAAAGTTCAAGTGAAAATATTTTTATTTAATTAAAGCTAACCTGCGGAATACCCAAGGTCATTRATTGCGTATTACACGAAATAAGTTTCATTTTACCTGGAACTCAATTGCGTAGCCACTGAGGGTTTCCTCGTTGTCTATAGATGACAGATTCTGCATGACATTTTCCAGGTTGCTTGCATCGATTTCAGTGTTACCACATGTGATCTCCTCGAATAATGCCATGTGAATAAACACATACTGCTCCTGTAAAAACAAATTGATATCATGCTTGTCAGTTTACAGCTTATTAAATCGAAGGAGATGAACTAATGAACTAATTTGRTTCATGTCTAATTGACCCATTGAGAATAAGCAAGTTCATAGTTGAAGAATCRTTTCTCGTGTTTAAAYCTTCTTTTGTTCTTAATTGAACAAAAAAATCCGGCATGCGCACTGAAAACGATTATTAAACTATGAACAGGCTTATTGCAGCAGGTACAATGAACCGGAAAAAAATTTGCAGTAACCATCTTGAACGCGTATGCGCAATTTAGACTCCGCGTGTTATTATCTAAAACTTCMTCTGATTGGGATACTGAATGTTGGGTTAACTATTATATTTAATGATGTATTTATAACCATACTTCCAGACATTGACTGCTGAACCGTCRTATGGCAGCGATAAGCCCTACACCGCTATCCCAGGAGGAATTACAGACTTCGTTGAAAGCCTTAGGGAGAGGTTAGTCGGCCCCTAGACCATAAAAGATCTTGCTATGACCAGCAACCCTAGTATAGCGACTGTGTCGCTGATGTCAAAGCATCCCTATTTACTCCTTTCCATATGGGATGAGTTGTGAAAAATCCAAGTTCAGGGTTAAAACTAAATTCAAGATCTTTAACATCAGGTTTTGTTTTGTTTTGTTTTTTTCATTTACGAAAATAGAACGGGGGGAGGGGGGTGGAGTTGGACTGATGGACTGATAAACTACTGACTTGGAGTCACCGAGTATGACAGTGCTTCTCAATTGCATGCACAGAAGATTTGCCTTCGGTACGAAAAGGATTTTGGCGGACCTCAATCAACAACTACATCCACCAAAACCTATTTCGTCGTGACGATGATTTTTTAAGCATTTCCTATGTTGTGTGCTTATCTTACCAACGTTTGAACCATATAGGGCCTGTCTTTYCTTAAAACGWWCAAGTAATTGTAAATGTCTATTGTCTTTTTGCTTTCGACCTGTTCCAGCATTGCATCAATGATCATGTATGTGCCAGTTCGTCCAACACCAGCACTGAAAGCAATGTACAACCAAATATTTTAGAAATATAATGTACATAATTATTATCTTGATAAGTTCATTAGAAGTTATAGACGTCTGTAGGATGTATGGTAAAAAGCAAAGCAAAGCAAAGACAAAAGAAAAAAGAAACAAACAAGAAAAAAACAAGAAAAAAACCCCATTAAAATTAAATGAGCATTGTTAAAAAATGAACATTTTCTTTTTCTGGTGCCTACCAAGCTACCAATTACACTTCTATGACTATATACTATAACTAAAATTAAGTGCCAAAAGCCTTCGATTTACAGATCTATAGATCCCTTGTACTTAATCCCTAACTGGGGTTCAAAACAATGAAAAGTATTAATAACGAAAACTATTTCATTCTCTAAGAGAAGGGAACTTTCTTGTTTTAACCCTTAGATTGATCATGAAAAAGTTGAAAAGCTGAAACAAACAAGAAAGAAGGGATTCATGATTAGCGACTGGTTACCTGCAGTGGATGACCGTTGGTCCTGTGTTTGCCCATTTGCTCATTTCCCGAACTTTTCTCCTGAACGAGAGTAAGGCTGTAGCATTTTTAGGAACTCCTTTATCTGGCCACGCAGTAAAGTGGAAAAGAAGCAAACGACGAGAAATCTTGTCGTGGGTGCCCTACAACAACGATTAGCATATATCTTTTTAGCTCTTGTTACGTGGTTTCATATATAATGTAAACACAAAACAGACTCTCGATTGAACGTAATCCCTTGCAAACAATATCTGGGCTAATCAAGGTAAGATCAAGGCATATGCGCAGATGGGAATGAAGGTTAAAGTGCTCGTGCGTGTAGAGGGAGGAAAACAAATAAAAAGTATATGCATGATAAGATACAATCTAGCTAACCTTTGTCAAAAGTAAAGTGCGAATATGGTAGTCTGCAAAAACYTCTGTTTTATGGTTTGTTATTGTAATATCTGCATATTGTTCCGAGTTTTCGGGCCAATATTGATGGCACTTTCTCTGCAAGAAAACGAGGAAAAAGTAAGAGACCATTTGAAATTCTTTCTACATATCCCAGCATTGTAATTATCGTAAATGATAAACGAATTGCTTCTATGAAAGAATACTCCRGATAATGTAGCTATACTGACAAACCTTTCCAAGCTCGATAAGATTAGTAAGCATGACAATGCATGTAGTGTGTTGCTCCCAAATCATCCTCCAAAAGTCGTTGGTGGTATCAGGTAAAGGTCCTGTTAGACAAATTAAAGAAAAGGAGTCAAATATATAAAACTATAATACCCATTGTTTTGATTCTTTGCCTTTTTTTTTATTTTTTTTTATTTTTTTTTATTTTTTTCTTTTTCTTTTTCTTACGATTTCAAAACGCGTACGCATATTATCTCGACTTACCTTGGGACGCAATGTAGGTTCTATGTGTACCATCGTAGCCCTAAATAATAAAGAATAAGTAAAATAGAGTTAGCAGGAACGGCCGAACTAGCAAATCCWTTTTGACAAGATCTGCATCACAGGCAAAACAGTGCGGAGACACCCTTTTCAATTTCAAAAAAAAGGTCATATATTAATGTGGAATGATTTGGCCTTCTTTCCATTTTATATTTATAAAATGACCATACCACTTCTTTTTTCTTAAAAGAAGTTAYGGTTATTTTATAAATATATGCGTATAGTATCTCCTTGGCATTTCGAGAGATAATCATGACCTGACTTAAAAGACAAATTGTCCTTGTATAAGAATAAGATTTTTCCACTCACATGCATAAAAGAAGCATTGATATAGTCAGAATCCTCATCTTCGTTGATACGTTGAAGTTTTACCCGAGAGTGGTCATCTGTGCCAAAAAAATTAAACACCACTTTCATCATTGAATACTTAGAGTACTAAAGTGCATGTTCTTATACGGCAATATGCCTACCCGTGTCAAACATTCCCATAATTATGATACTTACAAGCCACGATGTTGCCATATCGATTTTTAACTTTGTTCACCGCTTTCTTTGCAGCAATACATGAGAACACATGAGTGCCTGGGACCGCCTGGTTAATAAAGTAATTTAATTAATAAAGTATGGGGTATAAATGTGTTTAGCATATATCAACTTGTGTACTTCCTAAGAACGCGCGCGCTCATTGGTTWATTGGAGGTGAATATTGTACGAAATTCATACCTGTGAATCTCGGAATATTGAGTCGGCAACAAAATGGCACCTGCCGGCAATCGTTTTGCTACAATTCCCGATGAGGGAATTGAAAAAATGAAAGTAAATGCCATTCCTATCAATACTAAAAAAGCAACGAAGTATGGCCTAAGAGTTTTGCTAAAARTTTAGCTAAAAGTTTTGCGTGAATTTGTCACGCAAAYTAAAAGTTTCTGTTTGTTTGTTTTTATTGAATTAATGTATATAAAAATAAGTTACTCTGTACACAAGTTGGAATATGCTAAAACAATTATTCGCCTCMGGCTCAGTGAATATGGAGAATATTTACCTAGCCGCTCGAAGACTTGCGTCTCGGTAAATATTCCTTGATATTCACTTCGCCTTCGGCGAATAATTGCTAAATATAGTCCCCTTGCATGATATTCCTAATGCAGCTAAATTCAGACGGGACAAAACAATAGAGGGTTTTGCACCATCACTTGACGGCAGCCATGTTGGATGACAGGAACAATAGCATTTTCTTTTACATATCAAAGTATTCATTTCCTTAGAGCAAAGGGATTTTAATGTTATGTCATCTAACGACAGGCAGCCCAAGCTGTATTATGGGCGCCAGTACGAGATGGTAAGAAGCTTCTATAATCTTACTCTCATTAGAACTGAAATTCAGTGTTTCGTCCTCTGAGTTGAACGAATCTGGGAAATCCTGAAAACGGTTTATATCCTGACCAAATAGTTATGGCATAAACAGACTATTTATGGCATATTAAAACAGACTATTTAAAAAATTGGTCGATCCTCCCCTGATAGTTACGCGAGACTACGCCCTTACTTTGCCTTTGTCTTTGCATTTACTAAATGGCCGATAAGTTTATAATACCTTGAACTGATTTAGTAGTTCAGAGAATTCGTCTTTCCTTGTGGCGGCAATGTATTCAGCAAATTTGGTGACGTGTATTGGTTTGATGACATTTTCTTTTTCTTCATGAGCTAAGCCTGACAACGAAATAGTTAAGATAACCTCAAGGTGAAGATCGAATTTT